TACCAGACTGGGCGCGGTGGGTCACGCCTGTAATCCCAGCACTTGAGAGGAGGCTGAGGAGGGTGGATCACTTGAGGCCAAGAGTTCGAAACCAGCGTAGGCAACATGGTGAAAACCCGTCTCTACTAAAAATACAAAAATAAGCTGGGTGTGGTGGTGCATACCTGCAATCCCAGCTACTCAGGAGGCTGAGGCAGGAGAATTGCTTGAACCCGGGAAGCCGAGGTTGCAGTGAGCAGAGATCGCACCACTGTACTCCAGCCTGGGCGACAGAGCGAGACTCTATGTCTCCAAAAAAAGAAAAAAAGCACTCATCCCTTGGGGGTGATGTGAAGATTAAATGAGTTCAGTACTTAAGACAGTGCCTGGCACCTAGCAAGTGCTTTGTGTTTGCTAGGTGGTTTTTTGTTGTTGTTACTTTATTTTTTTGAGACGGTCTCACTTGGTCGCCCAGACTGGAGTACAGTGGCCCAATCATAGCTCATTGCATTCTTGAACTCCTGGGCTCGAGCGATCCTCCTGCTTCAGCCTGGAAAGTAGCTAGGACTCACAGGCATGTGCCACCACGCCTGGTTAATTTTTTATTTTCTGTAGAAATTGTGGGAGGGTGTCTCACTATGTTGCCCAGGCTGGTGTCAAACTCATGAGCTCAAGCAATCCCCTTGCTTTGGCCTCCCAAAGTGTTTTACAAAATTAATACAAAAATTAACTGGGTGTGGCAGTGCGCACCTGTAATCCTAGCTTCTTGGGAGGCTGAGACACGAGAATCGCTCGAACCTGGGAGGTGGAGGTTGCAGTGAGCCAATAGTGAACCACTGCACTCCAGCTTGGGCCACAGAGTGAGACTCTGTCCTCGCCCCTCCCCCACTGCCACCAAAAAAAAAAAAAAAGCTGGGCATGGTGGTGCACACCTATGGTCCCAGCTACTCGAGAGGCTGAGGCAGGAAGATCACTTGAGTCCGGGAGCTCAAGGCTGCAGTGGGAGGTGATTGTGCCACTGTACTCCAGCCTGGGCGACAGAGCCAGACCCTGTCTCTTGAAACAATGTTTAAAGAAATAGTTTCTAGAGTTATATATTATTCTGATAAAACACATGAGGCCGGGCGCGGTGCCTCACACCTGTAATCCAAGCACTTTGGGAGGCCGAGGCGGGCGGATCACGAGGTCAGGAGATCGAGACCATCCTGGCTAACACAGTGAAACCCCGTTTCTACTAAAAACTACAAAAAACTAGCCGGGCGTGGTGGTGGCAGTAGCCTATAGTCCCAGCTACTCGGGAGGCTGAGGCAGGAGAATGGCGTGAACCCGGGAGGCGGAGCTTGCAGCAAGCCGAGATCGCGCCACTGTACTCCAGCCTGGGCGACAGAGCGAGACTCCATCTCAAAAAAAAGCACACACAAGATGAAAGACACACCATGTCACACCTATTAGAATGGCTACTGTCAAAAACCTGGCAGGTTGCTGGGCTTGGTGGCTCACACCTGTAATCCTCGCACTTTGGGAGGCCAAGGTGGGTGGATCACCTGAGGTCAGGAGTTCAATACCAGCCTGGACAACATGGTGAAACCCCGTCTGTACTAAAAATACAAAAATCAGCTGGGCGTGGTGGCACGTGCCTGTGGTCTCAGGTACTGGGGAGGCTGAGGCGGGAGGATCGCTTGAACCCGGGAGGCAGAGATTGCGGTGAACCAAGACCATGCCACTGCACTCCAGCCTGGGTGACAGAGCGAGACTCCATCTCAAAAAAATAATAAGAATGAAGGAGGCTGGGCATGGTAGCTCATGCCTGTAATCCCAGCACTTTGGGAGGCCGAGGTGGGTGGATTGCCTGAGGTCAGGAGTTCAAGACCAGCCTGGCCAACATGGTGAAACCCTGTGTGTACTAAAAATGCAAAAATTAGCCGGGTGTGGTGGGGGATGCCTGTAATCCCAGCTACTCAGGAGGTTGAGGCAGGAGAATCGCTTGAACCCGGGGGGTCAGGAGCTTTGCCTGTCTCCCAGGCCAGAGTGCAGTGGCGCGATCTCAGCTCACGCCAACCCCACCTCCGGGTTCAGACAATCCTCCGCCGCTCGCCTCCTGAGTTACCTGAGCCACAGGCACATCCACCATGACCCACAATTTTTGTATTTTTAGGTACGGACAGAGTTTCACCATGTGCCAGGCGATGCGAACTCCTGACCTCAGTACCACCCCCTTGACCTCCTAAAGTGCTAGGATTACAGGTATGAAGCCCACACCTGCCACCTTCTGGTTTTGTTACAGTAAGCCATCCTAATGGGTGTGACATGGTGTGCCTTTCATCTTTTGTTTTATCAGAATATGTAATCTATAAACTGTTTCTTTAAACATTGTTTAAGAGACAGGGTCTGGCATCTGTCGCCCAGGCTGGAGTAACAGTAGCATCAATCACCATCGGATCACGACAGCCTTGAACTTCCAGGCTCAACGATCCTCCCTCCTCAACCTCCATAGGACTGGGACACAGGTTGCACCCACCATGCCTTGGCTTTTTTTTTTGCGGGGGGGGGGAGGGGGGGAGGTGGACAGAGCTCGCTCTGCGCCCGCCCAGGCTGGTGCAGGGTGTGATCTCGGCCACTGCAACCTCTACCTCACAGCTTCAAGCGATTCCATGTCCCACCTCGCTAAGAAACCTGGATATTACCAGGTGCAACCACTGCCACGCTCTCAGTTAATATTTGTATAAATTTGTATAAACTTGGAGTGACCATAGGTCAAGAGGAGTGGTGGATGCTCACGAGTTGAGACCAGCCTGGGCAATTATACAAGACAACCCCCCACAATCTCTACCAGATAATAAAAGATTAACCAGAGCGTGGTGCCACATGCCTGTAGTCCCAGCTGCTGCAAGGTGAGACAGTAGAGAATCGCTTGACCCCAGGAGTTCAAGAAGCAATGAGCTATGAATTGGTGCCATTGTACTGCCAACTGTGGCCGACCAAGTGAGATCCTGGTCTCGAAAAAAGTAAATAAATAAAATAAAATATAATAAAA